TTGTCAAAAAGCATTTGAGACTTTACAAGTCGTATTTCCTTTAATATCCCCTAAGTGTTTGAGCTGGATGCAATTATAAACTCCAGTTACAGATATGGAAATGGAGGCAAGGAGGATTAAGAAACCAAGAACCAAGTAGCAGGTGCAGAATTTGACCCCAGCCAGTCTGACTGCAGAGCACACATTACCACCTGTCTTTACTGCTCTGCTCAGGATCCAAAGAATTACTTCTTTTTGGAAAATCCTTTCTTCTTTACCCTGCTGCCCAGCTCCTCCTCCATGCCTACGTCTGATTCTGATTTTATTTAGTAATTCTTTTCCTTAGATATCTGGACCCTTACATAGACTGGGTCAATCTAACATTTTAACAATCTGGCATAGTCCATATGAACTCACGTGAAAGGTCCTCCCTGGTGGTGCAAGGGAGTAAGTCTCAGCACTATGAAGCTATTGCAGCCACTGCAACATGTGTTCGACCCCCAGCCAGGGAATTGACCCACATGGTGCAGCAGACCTCTCCTGACCCGCCCGCTGCTCCCCTCAGCAGTGTAATTCAGTACATCTTCCTGTTCTGCTCCCCACTCTGTCTCTGGTGAATTCTCTTACCCTCACCCCCTGCACTTCTGGCTTACACTCCAGCTCTTATATGCATAAATACATCTTTAAAAGAAAACTCACGTGAAGAAGTATAATTTTAGTGTATTATTGAAATAGAACATATTTGCAGAAATGTACATTAGGCATGTATGTATATTTTAACAAATAGAAAAAAAAACATGTAACCACCAATCAAGGTCACATATAAAATAATGGGGTGCTTGAAAAGCCCTCTTGCATTACTATTTTCAATAAAAACTCTTCCCTTATTCCTAAGGCAATCACTATCCTGAATTTAGGGTAATATTTTCTTTAACTTTGATCATCTCTGTATGCATGTATAAAGAATTCAGTTTGGTCTCACCTGTGTCTGTTTTCTTTTATATTTTTCTTTCAACAATGTTTTGTGGTTTTCCGTGTAGAAGTCTCATATTCCCTTAATTTATTCATGAATATTTAAATTTTGAGTCTATTATAAATAGTATCATTTCCTTAATTTGCATTTTCTTAATTCCTACACACATAACTACCTTACAAAGTTATACATTTGGTAAATACCTAAATCACATCCAATGTGATACAAGGCTCTTAGAAGCCATTTCTGTCCCGCCTGATGTCTTTCCTAATTGTAGAATACTTTACATTTTAAAAAAATTTTTTTAAGATTTATTTATTTATTCATGCAAAACTGGGGTACAGTCCAGAGATGCGGAGGGTGAGAGGATTCACCAGGGACAGAGTGGGAGCAGAACAGGCAAATCGATGAAGTACACTGCTGAGGGGAGCAGCAGGCGGGTCAGGAGAGGTCTGCCACGCCATGTGGATCTCCTCCTGGGCAGGCAGGAATCGAACTCATGAGGAAGTGGCTTAAGCTTCTTAGTGCAGTGCTTTAACCCGCTGAGCCACCAGGGAGGGCCCTACTTTACATTTTTTAAGAAAAGCTGTCACTTTCTTTGCTCTTCGTGCTTTCTTGCATTTTGTTCTAAGATTATTTTCCTCTTGAAGCCCATTCTGTAGAATTTCCATTGTGTAGTCTGTTGGGGGGGGGGAACTCTCTTAGTCTTTGTTTTACCTGCTTGTTGAATATGTTTTGCTTTCCAAAGGGGTGAGAGATGCCACCCTCAGGGTCCCAACTTAGTGTGGGCAAAGTCTGCCATGAGCATCCCCATCTGGACCGTGACTTCCACAGTCCCAGTGTGGAGGTCTACATGCCCTCAGCGCTTACCGTGGGAGGACAATGTCTATATGAACAAAGCTGCTGGAGATGCTGGAATGAGATAATGGATGGAAAATTCCTGGCGCAGAGGAGGAAAGCGACTAATCAGTGGTAGCTATTATTGTTTTCACTGAAAGCTTTAGCTACTAACCTTCAGGTTTTTACAGTTTACATTTTTGCTATGGGAAAATAAAACATGGCCTCGCTAGGACTACCAGTTTGAGTCTTTGTCATTGTGGCCCCCTACACCCTGAAACATGACGCGGGAGATAAGAGAGACTCACTATCCAAATGGAGCCAGCTTAGCACATGCTCTTCTGAGACCTGCATGGAAAGGTCCTCTTTTTGTTCTAATGACCCAATCCTAGTACACAATCTGGTTGTGTTTTTTTTTTTTCAGCATTTTTGTGAAAGCTCTGATGTCTACCTTTTGTCTTTCTTGATGCCACCAGGACAGATCTGTGGCTCACCTGATCTGGTGATACAGATCAGCAGATTTGGGGATGAGGCCATTTAAATTCAGAGCAAGAGTCTGAAAATCTGCCAGGGGCAGATTTTGTGGTACTGGGGGACCAGAGGAAGAGTCTAGCAGTAACCCATGAGCTTCTGGCAGCACCATCCTGACTCTGCCTCTCTAACATCACCCCACTGTTCTGTACACAAGAGGAAGGCTACAATCTTGAGTTGGAAAGTTCTTTGTTTACAAATTTTGATCATCTACTCCAAGAGACTCTAAGTATTGCAGTTGGAAGTAAGAAAGCAGGAGGAAACAGGTAAAGGTCATTGGTAAGATAAGATGAACCCAGAAACCCCAAAGGGTTTCTGATTATTCCCTTGCTTCCAGGTATCAGCGGTCAAGAACAAGCAACAATGACAACTTTGTGCTTGGGTAGTCAACTTGTGTAGTGCATACCACCATCACCCTAACCCCAGAAACCCCACAGAGACACCCCTAGTCACACTCTAAATGAGGAAAAGAAGTCTTGCTTTCCCAGAATCAGAAGTAAGGGAAAACAGAGTATTAATGGCTGAATTGTGCCCCACCCCAAAGTTCATATGTGGAAGCCCTAACCCCTATAACTTAATTACAATGTGACTGTATTTAGATAGGGCCTTCAAAGAGGTGATCGAGTGAAAATATTCATTGGGTGAGTTCTAAGTCAGTCTGATTGGGGTTCTTACAGGGAGAGGAAATTTGGATATCAGGCAGGTGGACACAGAGGGACAACCTGTGAACAGGCAGCAAGAGGGCAGACATCTGGAAACTAAGGAGGGAGGCCTTAGAAAAAAACAATTCCATAAGCACCTCAATCTTGGACTTCCAGCCTCCAGAACGATGGAAGAGTACATTTTCCATCGTTATTTAAGGCTTTGTTACAACAGCCCTAGCTGACTAAGACAAGGAGCCACTGGCTTTCCACTTCAGAAAGTCTAGCATATTATTTCCATGGAGTCACCCTTTCTCTGGGGCCAGTGGTACCAAATCCATTAAAGGAGAGGTCCCTCAAGAGCTCACAAAAGAGTCACCTAGCAACCTTGAGTTGAAAAATGTAAGAGCTATGTCAGTGACAGAGCTGTAGTCAGGAGTCTAATTAAATAGTCTTTCCTTTCTCACACTTCTTCCTCAAGTACATATTGAAGAGGGAGATATTTATAAAGAAAGATTATAGGGAAATGGTTTTTAAACATTACTGGGCAACAGATCCAGTTAATAAGTCTACAAAAGCTGTACATCCGTAAAAAGAGAGTCTATATTAGTGTCTTATGGCTGCCACGAAATTACTCCATAGTTCTGGAGGCCAAGAGTTCACCGTCAGCTTCTCTGGGCAAGAGATATACTCTGTTCCTTGCCTCTTCTAGTTTCTGGTAGCTACTAACACTCCTTTGCTTGTGGCCACATCACTTCAGTCTTTGCCTCTATCTTCAAATCACCTCTGTATACATCAGTTCTTCCTCTTCAGTTCTCTTATAAGGACATTTGTGACTCGATTTGAGACCCACCCAGACAATCCAGGAAGACCGCCTCACATCAAGATCTTTAATCACACCCAAGACAATTATTTATAGGATAAAGTTACAGGTTCTGGGATTAGAAATTGACACATTTGGGTGGCCATTATTCAGTCTCCTACAGCGTCAAAATTTTCTACTTACAAATCAGGGAGATTGTATGCTCCAGGTGGGAACATATGCTCTGGAATTGCATTTCACCACAGATATGCTGTAACAGATACATGGAAGACAGGACCATTTACTTTTTTTTTTTAAAAAGATTTATTTATTTGTGCATACAGAACTGGGGTACAGGCCAGAGGCTCAGGGGCTGGCGAGAGGCTTCACCAGAGACAGAGCGGGGAGCAGAACAGGCAGATGGATGAAGTACACTGCTGAGGGGAGCAGCGGGCGGGTCAGGAGAGGTCTGCCACGCCATGTGGTCACCTCCGGGGCAGGCGGGAATCGGGAAACGAACTCATGCAAAAATGGCTTCAGATTCTCAGGGCAGTGCTTTAACCCGTTGCGCCACCAGGGAGGGCCAGGACCATTTACTTTTTCACCATCTTTTCTACACCTCAGAATTAGCTACAGTGCTGGGTAAAAATACAAAATACAAAAATCACCCCTGGCTCTAGTAAATCAGAATCCCTCACAAGTCTGGCAGAGGAACCTGCATTTCTAACAAGCTCCTCCACATGATTTTGGTGTTGTCAACTTTGCATCCGTGCTCCAGTGAATATTGATTAAGAACCTGGGTGCCTAAGTTCCCCCTCCATTTGTAAAATGGACACACTGTCACCTCCTTTACAGTAAAGTGGATGTCTGTGCAAGCTTATTTGCACAAAAAGCAAATGTTTTTTCCTCTCCTTTCCATTTATGCAAAGATGAAGAACTTTTATTGTTTATTGGATTTCGCTTCCACCTCGTGTTTAATGCACCTCACCTCAAGATGGAATCGAGGGAGAGGGAGAAGGGAACCGTCGCAAACTCTTCCAGTGTGTGCAACCTAGCAGCACTTGACGCCCTGCGGACCTGCCGCTCTCTGGCCCCCGCCCCCCTTACCCTACCCAGGAGTTTATTTGCATCCGGCTGGAGGCTGCTCGGGGAGCCCGCCCCCGCGCCCCGCTGATTGGCCCGGCCCGCTTGCTCGTCACTTTCTTTTGTCTCAGTGGGCAGAGGATAAAAGCTGCCGCGGCTGCCGTGGGAACCGTGCTGCCTCGACTCGGCTACCCTACGCTGGGCGGCCGTGCCGAGCAGCTCCGGTTGGCAGCCCCTGGTCGCTCAGCAGCTGAGGAGGCGTCATCCTTCCCGCCCCCCCCACCCCCGCAGAGCCGTGGAGGCCGGAAGGCGGCATCCACAGCTGTCAGCGCAGGAGTGTCCGTTGCTCATCCGTCGAGCACAGGTAAAGAAAGGGGGTATGATTGTCCGGAGCCGAGGGAGGAGGTGGGGAGCCCCGCCAGTACTGGGCGGCTCCCTTCTTGGGGAACTGAGACCTGCGAGGACTCGGGTCATCCGGTTGCGCTGAGGGAGGAGGTGGGGCTCGACTGGACACAGCCAAATGGGTAGGATTTGCCTGGAATGAGAGGAGGCAATTTGGGGGGTGGGTTGATGGGGGTGGGCGGGGGAGAGGGAGTGTCGCCAGCCGCCTGCCTTGAACTCCGTTTACCTCTCGGACATCTCTTCCTGGTGAGGAATATGTGGGCGTCCGTGTCCAACTCCTATTCCTTTCTCCGTGGCAGGCCATCAAAGCCCAGCCCCAGCCGGAGTTCTGTGCGCCTCATTGCAGAGCTGGTAGGCCGGCGGTTTCCCGAGGGAAATGTAATGGTGGGGGTCGCTCTGGCTTGTATTCAGTAAGTGGGAGAGGGAATTTTCCGCCTGGCAACAGCGGAGCGGGGTGGGGAGGTGGGGGGCGAGAGAGGGAAGTGAGGAGGGAGCCGGATGAGGGGTGAGGCAGCTTCAGACCCTCCCCTGCCCTGCCCTACCCTCTGCCGCGGCGCTGTCTGGAAGCCCAGAGGTCCTCGATCGGCGACCACCGGCGGACTGACATCCACAATATCCCGGAGACGAGCTTTCTCACCGAGGCCACCGGTTGCAGAAGCTGGAAGTGAAATAAAGGCGCGCGCTGGCTCCTGAACTCGCGTAAGAATCTGACAAATACCGGGGGCGAGGTGGGCCTGAGTGGGGGGGGACTAGAGAAGGGAACGTGGCTGAGACCCGAGATCTGAAGGTTAATGAGATCTTAGTCATTCTCCCAAATCTGTGACCACTGCGCTCTATTTCGAGAGTCCAAGTTCAGCTCCATACACTTACTGCGCTTAGAATTAGAAGCAACAGTTGCTGTCCCTCTTGAAGGACTGGCGGGAGGGGGAGTGTGGCTTTAAAAAGCACCCTGCTGACAGGGAGACACCGGCTGACTCCTGAGGCTGTAAATGCCAGTCTCCTGGAGGGTATTTTTAGGGCAGTGGGCAGATAAAAATGTCCTGCAGGATGTTCGGGAAGGGAGAGAAGTCTGTGTCAAACTGCTCCTTCTTAACCCGTCTTTCCTTTTTTCCAGTCCCTACTGAGTCCTGAGGCAGACCGAGTCCCCCAGCACACCTGCAGATTAGGCTTTTCCAACAAGTCTGAGCGTCTGTTCCTGTCACATCCCCCCTCCGACTTCAGCCATGGCTAGCATCATGGCGCGCGTGGGTAGTAGCCGGCGGCAGAACGCGCCCTTGCCGCCCTGGGCCCATTCCATGCTGAGGTCCTTGGGGAGGAGTCTTGGTCCCTTAATGGCCAACATGGCAGAGAGAAACATGAAGTTGTTCTCTGGGAGGGTGGTGCCAGCGCAGGGGGAAGAAACCTTTGAAAACTGGCTGATCCAAGTCAATGGGGTCTTGCCAGATTGGAATATGTCAGAGGAGGAAAAGCTGAAGCGCTTGATGAAAACTCTGAGGGGTCCTGCTAGGGAGGTCATGCGTTTGCTCCAGGCCGCCAACCCTAACCTAAGTGTGGCAGATTTCTTGCGTGGGATGAAATTGGTGTTTGGGGAGTCTGAAAGCAGTGTGACCACTCATGGTAGGTTTTTTAATACTCTGCAGGCTCAAGGGGAGAAAGCCTCCCTTTATGTGATCCGTTTAGAGGTGCAGCTCCAGAATGCTATTCAGGCAGGGATCATAGCTGAAAAAGACGCCAACCAGACTCGCCTGCACCAGCTCCTTTTAGGGGCTGAGCTGAATAGGGACCTTCGCTTCAGGCTGAAGCATCTTCTCAGGCTGTATGCAAATGAGCAGGAGCGCCTTCCCAATTTCCTGGAGTTAATCAGAATGATAAGGGAGGAAGAGGATTGGGATGACACTTTCATTAAACGGAAGCGGGCCAAAAGATGTGAGTCAATGGTGGAGAGGGCAGCCAGCCCAGTGGCATTTGAGGGCTCCCCACCCATAGTGATCGACAGTGCTGACTGCAACGTGATAGAGATAGATGACACCCTGGATGACTCAGATGAGGATGTGATCCTGGTGGAGCCCCAGGACCCTCCGCTCTCATTCTCAGGCTCCCCTCCTCCCAGACGCAGGCCCAGACCTCAAGATCATGTGCTAGTCATTGATTCTCCCAGCAGTTCTCGGGCTCAGTCTCCATCCACCAGTGGGTGTTCTGGGTATAAGACCGATGTTCCTGGGGAGATCCGTAGAGCCAGGAAGCGAAAATACACTATCCGCTGTTCCTGTTGTGGCGAGGAGGGTCACTCGAAGGAAACCTGCGACAATGAGAGCAACAAGACCCAGGTGTTTGAGAATCTGATCATCACCCTGCAGGATCTGACACATCCAGAGGAGGAAGGGTCCAGAGAGGGCCCTGGTGAACCACACCGTGACCCCTGTGAGCCACAGTGAGGTGTTAGCCCTCAGCTTTAAATGAACCCTAACCCATATTCAGAGTCCAGCAATGGGACAACTAACTGGGTAGGGTGCTTCTAATTGCATGAATGAATCCACAAAGCGGCTTTTTTGGGGGGTGGATGAGAAAGGGTCTTCGATAACCAGCACAGTGGAGGGAGATGGCCTGACCCCTGTCCTTGTTCCCTCTCCCTGCTGCCTGAGAGTCTGTTTTCTGTGTGTCTTCGATGGCTTTATTCTCTTTGTGAAATTTCAATTATTCATTGTTCAATCTTCAAACAGTAAAGAACAAAAAATGCTAATTACCCCAAGATCTCCACCCTTATATAACCTTTGTCAACCCACTGATGAACACCCTTCTAGATATTTCCCCAAACTTATGTACCCAGATAGCTATATGTATAGATGGAAGTGATCAAATATAAGTGCTGTTGTATAGTCTGTATTTTTTCACCAAACAATATATGTTGTGGGCTTCTTTCTACGTCAATAAATATATATCAGCGTCTATTTCAATGTGTCTATTCTATTATGTTAGGAAGAAGTAAAGGGGAAAGACATCAGAAATATAGTAGAAAGCTATAAAGAGGTGGGGTTGTATCCCAAGGTGGGGTTTTTAGCACCGTCATTTTGCAATTGGGGAAAAAGGAAAGAAGAAATGGGCTGAAATATTTCCTAAAGGTAAATGGATAGAGATGGATAGAGTACCTAACCGCAACTGATCTGATCCTTGGGTCTAAGAGCCAAACTCAAGCACCCCGTAGTTGGCAAAGCTTCACTGTTTTCTTCTCTCAAGTATCCAGAGGTGTCTGTGGCAGGGGGGTCTGGTACACGTGGACACATCCCCAATGAGGATGGTACCCTGTCACCCCGGGGAGGGTGGCACCTCCTCCTCTAGATGGATTCTACTGCTGCCCCTTCTCCCCACTACCCTGCTTAGCACAGTCATCGCCCCTCTGTGCTGACACCATGCTCTCCCCACTTCCCAGCTTAGCAAAGGCCAGAGTAGGTACTCAAGGGCACCCAGGGCCTGGAGACACATCCTCCTCCCCCAACCCCAAGCCCCAAGCCTGGAAGCAACAAGTAAGAGGACAGAGGCAGCTGCGGCAGGCCACCCCCACTCCACCCTAGAATGGGGAATAGCTGGGGAGGGAGGAACGGTGATCTGGTTGCCAGGGCACGTGCAGGAACATGGGAATCAGGAAGCCTGGAAGCCCAACACAGCATGCAGGCATCGGGAGGGCATTCTCGGGGAAGGAGGGCAGAGGAGACCTTCCCAGGACTCTGTCCTGTCCCATCACCTGATCTCACATCAGAGGGGGTAAAAGAAGACCTGTGCGACCTCAAACCCCAAGGGTCCTTCTTGTAGGTGTGCAAGTCCCTGTTTCTGTGAGTAGGATAAGACTGGGAGGTGGGAATGATAGAGTGGCATTCTGCTTCCTGCTCATCAGATCTCAACTTTCCTTTTAACACTTGTTGAATATTTGCCCAAAGATACTTTATGCTGCCATCATTTCTTTCTGGCACCAACAGAGTAGAAAGATGAAGAGAATACAAATTCTGTTCATTCCACACCTTCCTTTCCACTGGTGTCAGGCTGGGAGATTTAGTATAGCCCACTGCTTTGCAAACCTTTCCATGACTCATCCCTTTTTATCCTTCACCTCCCCCCACAGCCTCTTCTCCACTGTGTAAATTTGAGACCATCTACATTTTTATCATAGCCTGACGTTTTCTTTGTAGTTCACACTGTCATTGGTCCTCTCTGGTGGCACAATGGGTTAAAGCGCAGCACTGCAAAGTTGACCTGGTGGCTGGGCCTTTTCTGTGAGAGCTGGATCCCCCGGGCCTAGAGTTGACCCCCCCATGGCACAGCAGATGCCTCCTGACCTACCTGCTGCTCCTCTCAGCAGTGTACTTCATCCATCTGCCTGTTCTGCTCCCCGCTCTGTCTCTGGTGAAGCCTCTCACCGCCCCTGCACCTCTGGCCTGTACCTCAGTTCTGTATGCATAAATAAATAGATCTAAAAAAAAAAAGATCTATTCTCTCTAATTGGAGGACACCAAATGGACACCTGGGTCTTCAGACCAGACTAATGGGCTTGGCCTAAAAAAGGCTTCATTCAAAACTCGGGCATATTCTCTCCCCTTCTGCTTTCATTCTCATAGGTCGCTAAGAGATGGAAACCACTGTTCTGTCTTGTCAGAAAAGACTGGACTCTGAGTGCCCTTTTGTGTTCTATTTCCCTCCTTCCTGACATCCTTTTCCCTTGGTTTTCATGACACCCCTCGCTCAGATTCCTCCATCCTGGACTCTTTTGGTGCCCATTTCTCAGTCTGCTTTACTTATTCTTCTATAACAGTGATAAGAAGAAAACCCAAAATCAGGAGTTCATGGCCCTCCAGTGATGGAAGTGCACATGACATATGAGGAAGCTGCATATGTAAATTCACCAGAAGACCTGCCTTTCCCAGGTGTTGCTCTGTACGAGTGATCAGCACAGTGCAAGTTCATCACAGGCCTTCAAGAAATGGCAGCTACTGTTCCTGCTCTGGAAAGCTCTGTTCCATGACAGGGTGAGGGGAAGGAGATCGGGAGGGGGGGCGGGGATGATGAATGCTTTACACTCCATGAAGTCAGTGCTTGTGACAGGCTAGGTCCAGGAGTGACATCAAGTCAGAGCCCTGATAGCACAGGAGTGGGTTCAGACATGCCTGCAAATTTAGCAATGATGGTGCTGCTGCTGCTGCTGGTGAGAGGTGGTGGTGATGGGGACACTTATTTAATGCCAAGGTGGATTCTTCCTAGTTTTGTGTGTCCCCAGGCAATGTCTCCTTCACACCAGAGTCACCCCTGTGCTTTCAGGCAGCTCACAACTAGTGCAGCCTTCCCTTACCCAAAGCACCCCCCCTAAGCAACAAATAGGAAGGGTGAGGGGAACTGATCTGAGTGACAGAGCAGCTTTCCAGTGTGTGATGGAAAGGAGACATAATTGAGGTTGATGGGGTCTTTTAAAGATGCAGGTAACCGCCAAATCCTACCACTACTAGGGATCTCAAAGGCAAGATTAAAGGGGGAGGCAGAGAGAGTGGACTGGGTCTTACTGAAGTTCCAGACCCAGACATCAGGAGCCCTCACTGCAGTTTCTCATCATACTATGGTCTCTCACAACTGCTTCCTTAGGTATTTACCACGTTCATCATCCCCATAATGCAGACCAGGACACTGAGGTGCACAACTACAGTAAATTGCGTAAGATCACACAGCATTAAGGATTAGAGCTGGAACTGAACACTCTGTCTGCCCCTCCTCGGAGCTAGAAGTCTCCCATAGTGCTGTGAATTTGTTCCTAAGGTAACAGGTGCAAAAACGTCTGACAACTCTTTGGCTGGATCCTGGGTATGGATTTCTGAATTTCACCCCCGAAGTTGGCATGCCAGGATGGCCTTGGTCTAATTTCTTTTGTTACACAAGACAGGAAAAATTGCTAACTTCTTTCTCAGAGTCTGCAACCATCTTATCATATTTATTTTTATTTTTATATGATTTTTTGGGACAAAATACTCAAAGCAGCAAACTGCTGAAAATTATGTAGGCAAACTGTGTCTCTTTCATACTGCTGGTAGGATTGAGAATGATACATTTTTTTCTGGAAGGTCAACTGGGAAATATATCAGAGGTTGAGATATGGAAATCCTTGAATCGAGCAGTCTATCTTCCTGAAGTTGACTCTAGGAAAATAACTGAACAAGGGTAAACATTTTTACAGAGATGTTAATGCTAGCTTTTCTTGTAGTAGTGGAAAACCAGAAACCACCTGAAAGATCATGAGTAAGGTTTGGCTGAGTAAATCAGACTCCACACTTAGAAATAAATGCTGTTTATGTGAAACCCTGAGTGTGTCTTCAGGCCTTTGGGCCTACCTGGATAAATGATGTGTGGCCCCTTAGAAGAGGCCGTAAGAGATCACTAGATCATCTGTATAATCATTGACTCCCAGCATGCTGTTCCATCGGCCTCATTCTCCCTTTTGGCTGGAAAAATCCTTGTGAAACACCCAGTAGCATCTCCCCTGGCACTCACACAGGCCAGCCCTCTCCACTGAAGGCCATCCCCTATCTCGTACTTGGTAATATTTCCATTTGGCTGTAATTGCTTGTATGATTATGTTTCCCCCACTAGGCTTGTATGCCCTGTGCCTAGCAGTGTTGTTTGGGTATCTTGGCACACACTTACCTCAGGAATTTGTGCTGACTAGTGTCATTCTTCCTCCATAGTGTCATTCTTCCTCCAGATGCCCCTGTGACTTGATTGTCTCCCCATGTTCAAGTATCTGCTCCAATGGTACCTTTTAATGAAGCCAGCCTTAAACAACCCATTTAAAACTGCACACACGGTCACCAGCACTTCCTTCTCCCCTTCCTTGGGTTTTTTCTGTCACACGCCTCTTTCATATACTACACAATTTGCTGAGTTATTGTATTGTTTATTCATGTCTCTCCCCACTAGAATGCCATCAACATGGGCAGACATTTCAGTCTGCTTAGTTCACTGGTACATCCCCAGCTCCTAGAACAATGCCTGGAATATAAGTTGGCTCTCAATGAAAGTTTGTGGCTGGAAAGAATGAAGTGCCTGAAACAGAGTGGGCGGGCACTGAGCAAATGGCAGCCTTTGTGGTTACTGCCATCCTCCCCAGTAGGAGCTGCTGTAAAGGACACATCAAGGAGGGAACAGTTCATATTGCTGAAGTCGCATCCACCGCACTGATGAGATCAGAAGCCTGGAGATATTCTAGATCAGCTGCTTCTACTCACCCTCCCAGGCTGTCACTGATTAGTTGGGTCATTCATTCCCAGCATGGCAGGAACTGAGAGGTGGTTTTCTTTGTAGATTCATCTATGTCACATCATCAGACCTGAGGTTTAATCACTTCAAATTTTCAGCCACTCCATGTGCATTCGTAAATATTGAAAACTATGACCTATAAAATATAAATGTTTGGGGTATGGTTTGCTCTTTTCCTTCTATTAAAGCTAATCAAGAGCAATAGTAATGATTATTATTTAATGGGTACTTGTTGAACATGTTAATAAAATAGTAAGAATTCTTACTCCCATTTTAGAGCAGCGAATCTTAGGGAGAGATGGGCAGCAGGTGTAAGGTTACCCAGACAGTGGACAGACAATAAGTCTGGCAACAAAGCTTGCGAGCTTTCCACCATAAATTTCAAATATAAGGGTTGATATTGCTGAGAAAAATGGTATTATACTGGGAGATAGTTATTGGAGCAGAGGTAATGAGCAGATATGAATATCTGGCCAATTTTTCTGTTCATCAAGTGCAGATTAAAGTGATTTGAAAGTTGTAAGAGAATTTTCACAAAAAAGAACATGATGTAGTTTAATTCCTCTCCCCCCAAATTATGTTTATTGAGGTAAGCTAGGTTTACATCTTTTTCTTCCACAAATGTGTGCTTTCACACCTTGCCCACCACTCTCAT